CAACTCTTCTACAGCAACCCTCTATTTTTTTTTCCCCGCCGCCATTTTGTCTTCACGAAGTAAAGACATGTTTCTTTTCTTTTTATCTACTGAATACCTTCCAACAATCTACTAGCCGAATTACACTTATGCTAGATCTTTACATTATGGTAACTTGGCGTTTTTTTGGCGAAAATTTGGCGACCAACTCTTCTACAGCAACGCTCTATTTTTTTTTTTCCCGCCGCCATTTTGTCTTCACGAATGTTTCTTTTCTTTTTATCTACTGAACACTTCTTCCAACAATCTACTAGCCGAATTACACTTATGCTAGAAATTTTGGTTGATCTTTACAATATGGTAACTGGTAGTTTGGCGACATTTTGGAGGCGATAAAGGTTACTACCTGGGACTTTGGTAATAATGTGAGCAGTACTCAGTTCCGATTACGCATTATTTTGCGTGAGGGAAAAAATGAGAGATCATGGGATATGTCATGTGATATTAATGGACGAATTACGGTTCTTTAATCGGAAAAGGAGGGAAATCGGGAAAAAATGTGGAAATTTTGTATTTAGCTTTATTCTGTGTTGTGTAACTTTTGGATCCCATGACCCTAACTAAAGTGATTCGAAATGGGTATTTAGGCATTGTGATAAAGAGAAGTTTGCTTTTTATTTAGCGGAGAAAGTATGGAGGAAAAATTCGCAGAAAAAATCTTTGAATAATTTTATGGAATGAATTAGAAAAGTGTATCCGCCACGTAATCAAGATTCTGAAGAAGATTAGGTAAGTTAGTATTTTTAATTATTTGAGGATATTATTTTTATGCATTGTTCTAAATGTAAGGTGGAAAGAAATTTGGTATTATTGGGAAAATTGTTATTAGCAATGATTTAGTTTAAAGTAATTAGGATTGTAAGGTAATTTTTTATAATTTAATGTATGTGCTCATTTATATTTTAAGTAGTGTTTTTGAATTTAATTATATTTTTTAATGAAATGATAGTTATTTTGTAAAATTTATGTTTTGTAGGAATTTGGTATACGTTTTAGTTGAAGTAAACGTGCATGGAAATAATTTAAATATCTGACACTAAGTATTTGTAATGGTTGCGGTATGAATTCGTTGGTGACGTTTATAATATAATAGATGATTAGAAGTAAAAAGTTTTTGGATATTTTATTTATTTTATATGTGGAAATGTTCATATTTGGAAAGGGTAAATACTTTTTCGCGATCAGGTAATTTCATATATGTTCTTTTTACCGGGTTTTAAAGATTGAGAAAATTGTCATGTATTTTCGTGAAATTTTTATAATTTTATGAGAAAAAAGCAGTGTACATGGATATAGTGAAAGTGTGTGCAATGCCATTTTTGTGCAATTCTGGGATTTTTTTTAAGTAAAAATAAGTCGACGTGTACATGGTTTAGTGATATTTTAATTAAATGATAGTTATTTTGTGAATTTTATGTTTGTAGGAATTTGGTATACGTTTAAGTTGAAATAAACGTGCATGGAAATAATTTAAATATTTGATACTAAGTATTTGTAATACTTGCGGTATGAATTCGTTGGTGATATGTATAATGTAATAGATGATTTAGAGGTAAAAGTTTTTGGATATTTTATTTATTTTATATGTGGAAATGTTCATATTTGTAAAGGGTAAATACTTTTTCGCGATCAGGTAATTTCATATATGTTCTTTTTACACCGGGTTTAAAGATTGAGAAAATTGTCATGTATTTTCGTGAAAATTTTTATAATTTATGAGAAAAAAGCAGTGTACATGGATATAGTGAAAGTGTGCGCAATGCCATTTTTGTGGCAATTCTGGGATTTTTTTTTTAAGTAAAAATAAGTCGACGTGTACATGGTTTTTAGTGATATTTAAATTAAATGATAGTTATTTTGTGAATTTTATGTTTGTAGGAATTTGGTATATGTTTTAAGTTGAAATAAACATGCATGGAAATAATTTAAATATTTGATACTAAGTATATTTGTAATGCTTGCGGTATGAACTCATTGGTGACGTGTATAATGTAATAGATGATTTAGAGGGTAAAAGTTTTTGGATATTTTATTTATTTTATATGTGGAAATGTTTTCATATTTGTAAAGGGTAATACTTTTTCGCGATCAGGTAATTTCATATATTTTATTTTCTTTTTACCGGGTTTAAAGATTGAGAAAATTGTCATGTATTTTCGTGAAATTTTTCTAATTTATGAGAAAAAAAAAGCATGTATATGGATATAGTGAAGAGTGTGCGCAATGCCACTTTTGTGCAATTCTGGGATGTTTTTTTAAGTAAAAATAAGTCGGCGTGTACATGGTTATGTGTATGTGTTATTTTGAAAAACGCGTAAGGTGTATGGTATTGTGCACTTTTTCCCTAATTTTGCAGTGAATATTTGTCATGATTAAGCAGTTTTGTTTGATAAAATTCTAGCATAAGTGTAATTCGGCTAGTAGATTGTTGGAAGAAGTGTTCAGTAGATAAAAGAAAAAAGAAACCATGTCTTACTACTTCGTGAAGACAAAATGGCGGTGGGGAAAAAAAAATAGAGGGTTGCTGTAGGATAGTTGGTTGCCCAAATTTTCGCCCAAAAATCGCCAGTTACCATAATGTAAAGATCAACCGAAAATGGTTATCTCTAACAAAACTGCTTAATTATGACAAATATTCACTGCAAAATTCGGAAAAGTACACAATACCATACTCCTTAGCGTTTTTCAAAATAACACATACACATAAACCATGACACGCCCCGCTTATTTTTACTTAAAAAACATCCCAGAATTGCCAAAAAATGGCATTGCGCACATTCTTCACTATCCCACTGCTTTTTTCTCATAATTAGAAAAAATTCACGAAAAAATACATGACAATTTCTCATCTTTAAAACCGGTAAAAAAGATATATATGAAATTACTGATCGCGAAAAAGTATTTACCCTTTCCAAATATGAACATTCCACATATAAAATAAACAAATATCCAAAAACTTTTACCTCTAAATCATCTATTATGTTATACACGTCACCAACGAATTCATACCGCAGCATTAAAAAATACTTAGTATCAAATATTTAAATTATTTCCATGCACGTTTACTTCAACTTAAACGTATACCAAATTCCTACAAACATAAAATTCACAAAATAACATCATTTCAAATATAATTTAAATTCAAAAAAAACACTACTTAAATATAAATGAGCACATACATTAAATTAATACATAACAAATACCCATTTCGAATTCACTTTAGTTACGGCCATGGGATCCAAAAAAATTCACGAACACTGTTTCACACAACACAGATAAAGCCAATACAAATTTCCAGATTTTTTCCCGATTTTCCCCCTTTTCCGATTAAAGAACCGTAATTTGTCCAATAATATCACATGACATATCCCATGATCTCTCATTTCCCTCACACAAAATAATGCGTAATCGGAACTGAGTACTGCTCACATTATTACCAAAGTGCCAGGTAGTAACCTTTATCGCCTCCAAAATGTCGCCAAACTACCAGTTACCATATTGTAAAGATCAACGATAATTTACATAAAAATTGATAAACATAACTGAATGGATGCCTGCATCGCTACCGAGTTATCGCTAAAACATAATTTTATCTCATTGGTTGTTCAAACATAATTTGCTATAATTAATGATGCCTTTTCTTCAAAAATCCTCATTAAGTGCAGATTCGCCCACTTATTTGTTTGCCGCTTTTTACAAGGGTAAAAACAATTGGATTTTTGTCAATTTTCTTTTACTTTTTAAGTGAATATAAGTCGATGTGTACATAGATAGAGGGTGTACACAGTGCCATTTTTAAGCAATTCTGAGATTTTTTTTTTTTTTTTTAAGTGAAAACAGATCAATGTGTACATGGATACCGAATATGTGCAATTCTTAAAAACAGGACAAGCAGTGGGTGATTCTGCACTTTATCCAAAATTCTATTGCAGACATGTCATGGACAATTCCCAAATTTTAAAATCCATAGGATATCAAAAAAGGATTTAAAAATTAAACTAGTATTTAAATAGCATCTTGAGAAATATGGAAATATATAAACTTACGCAATCTGAAATCAGTGCGTACGCTAGATTTGGCGCGCTGTTAAATGGGAGCGTTTGCTACATTTGGCATTTATGCACATACATTTTCCCTGTAATTTTCTTACAGTCCTCAAAACGAAATAGTACCCAACTATTTTTATAGAATGTTTTAAAACTCAGAAGTTCCTAGAAAATTCAATTCCATTTGTGAAAATGTTGCTTTTATTTTTTTCTCATTTATGTAACTAATTACTTATCAGATATTTATCAGCATCTAATTTCTGACATATTTCCAATATGAAAGTAATATGAAATGCTTAGTACTAACTTGTCATTAAAAAACAAACATGATTTTATATTTTCTAAAAACTAAAAAAAAAAAAGTTACTTCAATTGACTTTTGACATAAAAGCACTATAAAGCAAAAAATTATTTGTTGAATATTGCACGTAAAAAATAGTAAGTAAAATGATAAGTTACAGAATATGTATTTCATATGTAATTCGAAAGGTTAATTAAAATATTTTTATTTCAAGTTTTGGACCATTGCATTCATTTGATACCCAAGTTGAATGATGAGATGTGGTAAAAGTATACACATAGTCCTATCTTGCGATGGACGAACGGTTATTAAAAACAGCAAAGTATTAATCTGAGTGGAATTAAATGGAAAGAAACTACTAAGAAATATTTCCTTTAAACTTTATTAGAAGAGATTTAATTTCGATATTACTACACCCAACACTAATTACGACTACAAATTACTAACATTAATGCCAAAATAAGCGTGTTTCCACTTTTCAGAAAAGTTATTACTCATGCCCTGCCTCCTTACAACTCGAATATTCGGCAACTAGAGAATATTATCGAAGCCTTAAAATGACGGAAGAAATGAATGAATGAAAACGTAGTATTTCATACCAATTATATACTTACACGTTCGATGTGGATGCATTGTCACTTACAAAACTTTTGGGTATTACAGTATTTTTTGAACTTAATTTTGATGCTGACTCATAATAAGATATTGTAGATGTTTTGGGTGACTGACTACTACTTAATTGAATTAAATATAAGAAAAAGGGGGTGCTTAATATGATAATTAAACTATACGGTTGGCGCATAGTCACCTGCGCGGAGTTAATTTCAGCTACTTATGGCAAAACAGCATCACATTACGAAACTACCTAGACAAATAGTGAAAAATATTTTTAACTCCTGGTGCACTTTAAGTCTTTTGGCCCGAAGTAGCATTCTTACATTTTAATTGAAATAAATAGATATCAATATGAATAAAACTAGTTCTTCAAGAATATATTTATTTTGTTAGATAATAAACAAGAAAAAAGGTGTGTAACTTTAAGGTTTGATCAGAAATTTTCGGAATGTTATATACGATTGAGACAGTAGTAGGTTAAACACATTCTAAGAAATAAAGAAAAGGGATTCATGTATTGCATGAACAGAACAATGATTAATTATGATGTAGATACTTAGATACTTAGTTGTAATATACTGGATTTCTACTGCACTACGGCAGTACTTCCCAGTAGCATGAGAGATATCCCGAAGGAACATGGCTTTGAAGGAAAATCAGTTAGGTTCTATTGCAGGAAAAATCAGAAGAGTATAAAAGAAAAGAGAAGAGCGATGCAAAATCCTTGCACGTGCCGCTATCTGGTGGCGGTGAATGATGTAGGAAGCAAACTAAAATCTTTTATATACAACATTTCAAATGCCCGGACTTTTAAATTTATTCTTCGGAAATCATCGTTATCATCTATCGGTCATTAGGGAGCTCTAAGTTAAACTTTTAGAGATCCCTTGTACGAAAATAAGATTCAAACAAGCATCATTCTTCTACTTCATGAAAATATTTTATCAAAAAGTTCAAAAAAATTTAATTTTAAATGTCTACATTGTGCATTATAATAAAAGAATTGCCACCAAGGCCGGTCTTCGAAGAAGCCCTGAATCTACTTCTCCTACTGAAATAAAAATTTTACTGCTGGGATGGGTGCGATGGATTCTGATTCAGAATGGGCGCTGCGATCACGAAAGCTGGATGCGGTGTCTAAATATAGCTCCGAGATTTTTTAAATAAAAGTTTCAGTAAATGTTTTCAACTCTCTAAAAAAGTTTAATGCGCCTTTCCTATGCAATGTCTCATTCATCAAATTGAAAAAGGAAACTTCACTTCTTCGAAATTTCAGGTGTTTTGTTACCTGTTCACTATCAACACGAGAAATCCAAAAGAGGCCCTGACACGGAATATTCAGATAAGTAACATTCTGTTCTCTATACAATATCTGTTTCTCTATCAGTAGAGTGCCATTAAATTTCTTTATTTATTATTTTCATAAGATTCTAGCATTATACAATAGTTGTTCATAGTAGCAGGTCATGTGGTTCTTTTCTTCGTAACTATTCCGTAGAGACGCCCTTATCAGTAGTCCGTTCTTATCAGCAACTCACACCCTTCGGAGCCCCCCCCCCTTTTCGTGCTTAGGAATTTCTTGAGAGGGAAAAATGGGTATCTCTTGACCATCGATGAGTATAGATTGTGATTTTTGTAACTAAGATCCCAGATTTTTTTTTTTTTTTTTTCAGGTCTCAAACTTAGAATTATGAGCAAATAAAAATACAGTGTGACGGAATTTGTTAAACTTGTACTATAATAAATTACAAACGGTTAAATTAATAAATTAATTTATATTTAACTAATATTTAAGAAAAATAAAACTGTATAATTTATTTTTGCTGAAATGCTCTCACACATGTATGGATTTATGATTTTGTCAGTTACTATTTTTATGAAATATACATGAATTTTTTGGGAACGGTAATATTTAATGTTACTTTAATTAAAATATTATGTACATCTCTGTGATGATATATATCTTTTCTAGTTAGGTCTCAAGATAAGGGCATACACATTACCATGAAGGAATTTATTCATTTATTTATTGATTTTTTAAAACTTAGCTAAAGTTTGCTTCTTAAAGACACAAACTTTTGCAGATGAACTCCTTAACTACACTCATGGACACAATTGTATATTAGGGTATTTTCTACTTCTTTTCCTTTTCTTTCTATAGGCCTTTTTTTTTCCCTCTATTATTTTTGGACCATTTATTTTAAATTTTATTTTGTCCCATCTTTTCTTTCTGGCCTTTTGAACTCGTACAAAATCTACGAAATCCTTTTTACTCTCCTCAAATACGAAATTGCCCCCTTTCTATATACCTTTCCTTCGCACCTATGCTTTGGGATTTCCCGCAGTGGGTGCGAATAGCTAAGAAGCTATTCACACCACTTACGTTCGCGCATGCGCACAATCAGTAGCTCAGGTACCAGCATTTTACGACGATTTCCATAACATACACAGATCGTAATTTATTCTCGAGTGTCAAGATGTAGAAACATCTTTTTACTCGACTTCTGATAAGAATCTGGGAGGAGGAGAAAGAGTAGTGTAGAAGGCGGTGTGGGAGGGGAAAAGAGAATCAGGTCCGCGCTAGCGGCGGAGAAAAACGGGGGGGTAAGTTCAGTGTCGTTATAAGATGTAGCCGCGGGTGGCAGACCGCAGAGTCAGTTAAGCGTGAATGAGTCAATTATGGTTGTAATTCTCATGTGGGTAGGATGTCACATGAGTACCCATGTTTTTCACTGGTATGCGTTTAATATACTCTTCAATAAGTTCGATTTGAAGGTCTCTGTGAATGTAGATGTTTGGAATTTACCAAGGAGCATTGATAATTTCTTGTAGAATTTTATGTTGCAGAATTTGCAATTGTTTAATATTGGTTTTAGCTGCATGTCCCCAGATCGAAGCTGCATAAAGGAGGGCTGGACGAAGTATGGAGCGATATAAAGTTAATTTGTTTGTAGTAGATAAGTTGCTTTTTCTACCAAAAAGAGGTCGCCTAGTAGCTGTGGTGATTTTAAATTTTTGTACTACGGAGCGGAAGTGGGTTCTGAAGGTAAGTTTTTCATCAAGGGGGACTCCAAGGTATTTGGTTTCATTAAGGCTCCTATATACCAGTTTGAATCATCAGGAAGTCGGGATCGCAAGTGGGAGTTTTAACGGCGGTGCAACAATTTCTTGTCTTTTTTGTGTAAATTGGGGAACGTGCAGCTATTAATTGCTCAAATCATTCACCGAAAGGTCATATATTGGTAAAATTTCCTAAGAAAATTCCTAAATGAAGAAAGAAGAAATATATGAGTAAAGAATTGCCGAAGAGACAATTGGAAACCTTGTCCAGGCGCTCAACTTTGCTTAGTAAATATAATATTATTTACGCCTTCATTTAGAGTTTATATCTTATCCGATGTTTATAATGTGCAAGTAAAGTGAAATTCTTATGTGCAATAACCTAAATATCTGCTAATTTCTGTCATAATAGCTGTAATTAAATAGTCTAGGGTTAATGTACCCGTCGCCAAACATCGCCAAAGGTTATGTTTTCAATGTGGAAAAGAAATTTATCTTCTAATATAAAGCGCAGATTTTGTTTTCCTGTGCTAATTGTGGAATTTATACTAATGTAGCATGAAAATCATTAGCATATTGAAATTTATTAAAAAAATAGATAATAATTTGAGAATAATAATTAAGAAACGCAAGTTAAAATCTGAATGTTTGCTAAAGATATATGTAATATAATGAGTTGCAATATCGTTGGAATGATATATAATTTATTTCCTTATAATCACTATTGTTGAAAAGTTAGATGAGTTGTTTATGCACGGTGCCCACTGCCGTTTCTTGGTTACAATAACTTCCAGAATTTTGACATGACATCTGAAATCAATAGAATAAATTGAATAGTGTGAGACAAAATATATATAATTTGATTTCAATAACTGCAAGGATTGTGCAATCACAGTATTATACAATTTGACAATGGAGTAAAGATTTAGAAGTGAATGCAGAACATTCAGATAAGCACATTAAATTTGTGAAAACTCTGCATGTGTATTTTTCAAAAATAATTGTGTTTTTAATGCGTGTGTAATATTTAATGCATGCATAACAATCAAATAAATTAAGAAAGTAATTATTGATAATTTTTTTATTACCAGATGCAAAGGCCTTACACAGCATCTTATCAACAAAAGAGCCCATAACGTTTCGTATTCGTCAGTATTGGCCAATAAGAAACAAAAAGTAAAATAAAATAATTTTAGAAGGTATGTATGTTTTATATTAAATAATTTCTGTGTAATATGTAATATGCATTACTTTTTCCTAGGCTACGAGCATATAAATTTCTGTCTTTGATATTATATATGTTACTTTCTCCTAGGTTATGAGTATATTATTATGGTATTATTTTTTTTTTTTTTTTTTTGTATTTTTGTTTTATTTCTGTTTGTAAATGTAAATATAGCATATTTTCCAGTATAAAATTTCAGTTAAGTTTTATTTAAAAGTATGGGAAAGTAGATTTGTTTCATACATGATCTTTATAATAATACTGGTATGAAATGGATGAAATTTAATCCGTAAACAATTTTTTGTTAGTATTGAAATGTGTTTCTTTGGGTACATTTTTAGGCACTTGTGGATCATGTCAGACAACATGCAATGGAAAAAAAGATGTCCAGCGTGCATAAATTTTCCCATTTTGTTATTACATATGGCTTTATTTGAAGTACTGGATGATTGTGCTGTTTCAGTGAACCTTCATGAATATGTGTCAGAATGTGTATCCTGTATATTATGTGTATTCTGTTTTTGAAGCATAATCATTTTATTCATTTTAGTAATGCATGAATAAAAATGCTATGTATTACTTCATTTTATCTAAATTTCAAAGATAATGTTTTTCATTTTTATATGGCATGTTATTTCTCAGTATAAAGGATAGTGAAAATAAATAGGTACGTGTGTCTGTTTTTGAAGTGTAATGCTTAAATAAAAAGATGGTGTGTGTTCCCTTATTTTAACAAAATTCAAGGATAATATTTTTCAGCCTTGTACTGTTTGTATTTCTCAATGTAAAGGGTAACAAGGGGAAAAAACTGATATGTTCATCTGTTTTTTAAGCATGATAATTTTATTTATTTCTTTAGTGATGCATATGTCTATAGAAGGTGTTTGGTCCAACTGAAGTTATAACAAATCTAATTTTACTAGACCTCTCCCTCTCCTCAGGTGTAGGAAAGTTTCAAGTAATTTTCAAGTGCAGAATGTTTATTTGCAGAA